ATATTTTGAGTACAGATCGGTAAGTATGGAGGTACCTAAAGAAGCTTAGATCAAACTACGTTTTTCTAAGCTAATTTCTTTATCATAAGTGCGAAGATAAAGCAAAGAAGAACAAATTAGCAACCGCGCAATAACATCTAATTACCCTTATCTTCAATAAGTTGTTTCAATGGACAAAATTTCAAACATTCAAGAACAGAAATATCTTACCGCGAGCAGACCACATTTCTCCAGCTCTTTCACAGTTTCAGTTCGTTGCGATTCACAAATGGTCTCTAAAGCTCGTTCAATGTAATCCTTCTGTTCCTTCTGACATCCTTCCACTAGTTCTATGAGATTTTGCTTTTCATTAAGCAAAAATATAAATCTACAAATATGAGTGGTGTGCAATTATGGGCATATTTAAAGCACTAAGCCTTACCGTTCCAGCTCCAAAATAGACATGATGGTCGCAATCTTCTGGTCTTTTGGAGTTCTAACCAAGATTGTGTGATAGAAATCAACACCCGATTGTTGAGCCTGAGTACGCAATCGCAGAAGGCGTCTAGAATTCAGAACTAGGTTGTTGATCTAGAAAAAAATTACGTTTTTAGGTTCTAGGTATCACGTTATTCTAAAATCATTTTTTATTAATTTCATAGCCAAAGAAAATATTTCAAAACCGTTATGATCAATATGGGATAAAAACAATGCTAATAATCGTACACATTTTATATTTCCAAAATATAAACACGCAATGTTTTGACCTAAGAACTATATTATAGGTAAGCTAACAACTCACCTTAAAGGGTAATCGCACAAACTCATTGCTACATCCATAATCAGCTCGGTGGTAAGCACTTTTCCTATGGCTTCCACAAGAGAAGGAACTCTGAATAAATCAAAGTTATTTAGTGAACATAGATGAGACAACAATTAAATTTGTCTCGATCGACCAATATTCCCAAAATTCGAACAACTTTCTTTAAAAAACCTTTCCACTAAAACTTGTCATAGGTCTGACTCCTGCCAGCCTTTCCTACCGAACTTTTTCCAAGAGAAGGGAAGAAAGGATCTCCCACTCGACTGTAGCTGCGCATAGAACTGTGAATCAAAGAGCGAGTAGCCAAGCCTGAGGTGTGAGGAACAACCGCTTACCCCCTCCTCCCTTTACTTCACTCCTAATTTTTTCATCCACTGCATTTTCATCTACAGAATGAGATAAATTCCAAATACCTACCCAGATACCACTCTAATCGCGTCCTTTAGTAATCCTGCTTGAGATAGCGTTTCCAACAGAATGCACCCCTCTTGGCACAGTGCCACAGCAGTGCAAAGCCATTCATCAATCAGTTGAGCAGCTTTTACTTTAGCAGCTCCATGTCGAATGTAAAATTCGTCCACAACGCCAAGCACAGCGCCTTCCATACTTGAAATCATCTGTAAACGGAAGTTTTTCAAAAAAATTATAACGGTGGCAGATAGATTTCATGAGCAGGATGTGACTGATTTTTCTTCAAAATTTTTTTTGCTCGATTT